AACATTGTGATTGTATGTTTGTGTCTTTATTTCTATTGTTGTGTTTGTTAGTTTTTCTTAGTTTTGCTTTTACCATAAATATCAAAGCAAGTAAAAAAAACGGAAATATTTTGGTTAAGCATTGTATCTGTATATGTGTCTTTATGAGTATATTGATTTTTTCTGTTTTGCATTTACAATTGGTATCAGAGCAAGTGAAACCAGAGCTGTCACATGTTTGATTGAATAGACGTAATCAATTGATTTGTGTAACGTTGATCAAGATTACATATTTATAATGATGTTGACTAATTGTTGTGAAAGTAATAGTGTATCAGATTTAATTGCAAACTTGTTTGTTAGGTTGTGTTTACACATCTCCTAGCAGCAAGCAACAAAATCTGCAATGCTGATTGTTCAAAATTAAGAAGGTGGAGAAAATTCACAAAATGTGAGAAAACAAGTTCAATGATTTGAAGTTAAAAAGTGAAATCTTGTTGAAAAAAATGAAACCACTCTAAGAGTACTCCAGATATAGTTTAATGTGCTACTTCATCTTGCTCAAGATTGACAAGAATTTTTTGAACATGAATGTGAAATTTGCATCCAATTATTGAGTTTGGATAATCCAATATTGAATGTGATACTTCATATATACACTCACGCTGTGTTTAACATCCTTGTGATCATCCACATCATGTGCTGATTGTTACTCCTTGCTTGGTATTGATGATGTGGATGATTGATTAGTCAGATTGATTACTCTCTTAAAAAACTCGCGTCCTCAAGAGAGTTTCCTGCGTGATATCCTATTGATACACTACTTGAGTGGTTGCATTTTTCTCAACAAACTTTTCCAAATTTAAATACTCGCCCTTTGATCTCATGATGAACTTACTCACGTAGTTTATTTTTTTGGTTTCCAACTCAACATTTTCATCTTCAAGATCATCTGTCTATTTAGATAATTGAACCCCAACAAGTTGCCATTCATCAATTTCTTAAATTTTTAATCAAATGTCTCCGACTTTGATCTATCCAACAAAGTAAGTCCAAGAACTGCTATAATACTATGGTTTAAGAGGTAATTTCACTCGAAAATGAAACATAAACTCTAGAGATGATAGATATATAAAATAATTTATATATATATATATAATTGCATCCCATATCTCTCAATGATTCTAAATCTAGACTAAAGAGAAAATTCATCTTTCGATTGCTCAATATTTTGGAATTTTTTGGTTTTTCTGTTGTAAATGCCATGCATCTTGATGCATGGCATTTCATATCACAAAGGTAACTTGTTTTTTCTCCATAATACATGTGATTGAACTACGAGTTCAATCACATGACAAATCTAGAAAAGTGTTTATACATACTTGTGTCATAATTGATGAAAATGTATATAGATGATAGAGATTAAAAGTATATATAGTGGATTTTGATTGATTGAATCTGAATGTTTTAACTGATCTAGGCCAGTAATATTTACTGGCTTCATTGAGTATTGTGTGCATTAGCATCTAATCTACTGAATATGATTCAATAAAAGAGCTCGGATATAAATCGCTATTAAAGATTCATTTCCAAGTCTATGAGTGGGTATTATTCACATGGTTCCTCTAGGATCATTCTGATGTATATGTTCCGTGGCTAGATTTCGATAGTTTCGTGTTTTCAAGATTAAGGAAGACGATACAAAGCATGACTTACAAATAATCTTTTTCACACGAAACATGTCAGTTACTGATTGCATCTGACAGACAAGTGGAAGCAGGCTTCACCGGTCGCGACTGAATCCCAACCGTACATTAAATCATGTTATCACGCATATCGGTGACGGTAGATTCTGGAGAACTGATACCAGTTACGAAGGGATTTCCGGTTGCATATATCTGCCACAATGATTTTAAATGGTCGTCACTCTTTTTGTGACAAGTGCCCTGATCACTCCCGTATGCCGAATTGGATATATCACCCATGTCATAAAACCTCAAGTCACTATCTCATACCCGAACCTCTGGTCGTTGAGCCGGTGCAAGTAGGATGCTTATGGATAACAAACTCAACAACCTCATGACGTCACCCTCTGCTGTCAATGACTGAGATTTAATAGCTATTTTGAGATAACTCGACCATCACTTTCAGAAGACTAAATAATTAATTGGAAGAATTTCAGTTTTGATAACTTGAATCGAAAATTGCCATTTACTTTCAATATCCACACCGATTCGTCTGTAGGATTTCTAACGAGTAATATATATCTAACTCAAAAAAGATGATGGACCAATTAATATAGCTGAGAATCGTAGAGATAGAAGACGTAAATAGTTGGAGATAAACAAAATCATCTAGGGCAAGTCGTTTTGGAACGGATAAAATTAAGAATTCTTGTTATGAAATACAAACATATCAGTACTAGTATCATTAAACTATCACGTTAACTCACATATGTTGAAATTTAGAGAACATGTCATAAAAATATAAACTCTTCAATACAATAGAATTGAAATCTATTGATGAATTTTCTTTTCACTTTTTATCAATCTATATTGATTCAACATATTGTAATGTCAACGTTAATAACTTCGGAAAAGCTAAATTTCAAAATAAAATTATTTAGAGTAAAGAAAACCTTTTCTGCCAAATTTATTAAAAAACTCAACACGTGATTTTAGAAATAAGTAAATTCAAAAAATATTTTTAAATTGTTGCATATGTTATAACACAAAATTAGTTATTCAATCCAAAAATTTAAAATCTATCATTGTTTTAGATCTAAATCTTGAGAAACATTTTGATTGATTACTTACTTTAAAAGATTCAAATATTCTTCAATCCAAAATATCCATCTGAATCATACTCATAATAAAAAGATTCAAGTGATTAGGCAAAGGTGAAATTATAAATATAAATACTACTTTGATTAAATATAGCTTGATTGAAAAATGAAACACAAGATACACTTTTGAGTTATATTTATAAATTTTACTACAAATGCTACATAAATATATAATTTTTAAGTCTAAACAAGTAAATATCACTATGTTGCATACTATTTATAATCAAGTTTTATAGCTCCCTGAGATTGAAATATTTATTTTGATCCAGAAATATTAGGTAAAATAAGCCATTCATATTCGTGATTTTTAAATTCACATTGGTAGCTTGAGATCTTGGAAAGCTTATAAGCAAAATTTCAAAGCATTGGAAGTTTAAAAAATATAAAAACTTGGAAAAAAACACAGGCTTAACAAATAAGATTATACCTAGCTGAATAAGCATCTAGTTAGAAAGTTTTTCAATTTTATTGAAGTTTTGCAATCAATCTTATGAATATATTAAGTGAAAAACTTTTGAAGATTCTAAGTTTCTACAAGAATCTTATAGCAAATAAGTCGAATAGAAATTTAGACAAAAAATTGCATCAACAATCTTCATAAAATTCATAAGTATGTCAGATTTGATAAAGTTCATTGAATACATGGATAAAATACACTTAACATTTTAACCTTGTTGACAAGATTCATACAATTTATTATCTCTTGGAAATTAAAACTCATTCAGTTAAATTCAACTGTTAAACACCATCTAAAATTTCAAAGCTAAGGGTTGTATTTGATTCCAATTTCTATTTTTGTACAATTGAATTTTCTCCATTTTTCCAAATTACTGAGGGCTCAGTATTGTTTGTTTGCATATCATGAATTTAATTCATTGTTCTCCTTCCCTCAATAAAAAAAAAAATCTTCGTAAAAAATGTGAAAAGTGGTTTACACTCTTTAATTTCAACTAAAATGAAATAAAATATGGATTAACAGTAATATATTCCTATATTATTATCAATTATATTATCATCCATTTATTATTAAAAACTATATTTCAAATAAAATTAATATATGATGTGAGTGCTGATATAAATTTTAAATTGATAGTCATAATATTAACAATCACGTTAACATGATTAAGATATTATTCGCTTATAGGACGTTAAATACAATTGGAGATGAAGCGAAATGAAGAGATTACAGCAACTATCCCATGTTATAAGATACATCGATTATTTTCCATATCTCCTGTGCATTAGTATTCACTATTATATTTGACCATATACTCGAATAAGAATGGTGTAAGTAGTGAAGTAAACATGTAGCAATGACATTAAGGATAAGTTTACTCTGAAATTGTATCGATCCTTTCAGCGTGAAGAAACAAGATAACCGCGTCAAGTTGCCGCTACTGTCCATAACTAAGGGAAAATGTATACTTTGTATCATCATTTTACGGTATGCTGTTCTATATCTTCCGCTTTGGTTTTATGTAGCTGGCAAGTTTTCACTTTTATCCAATTTTACACAAGAAATAGATTCCTAAATTTATACTAGTATTATCTCTTCTTCTCGATTCTTTACTTCTGTACACCGTTATCGTCTCCACGGAGAGACGATAACCGTGTATCAAAAAGGGGCGATTTTTTCCTCGAACAATCCTTAGGTGTTGACTTTAGGCGGTTTATCATGTATGATATTTTCTGTCCCCATTTATAATACCATCTATTCATCTTCAGTCATTATTTATCTTCTGCGGACAACTTTTATGTAATACACATGTAATATTCGATGACTCTTATTCAGCGACACAGTGACCGGATTGCTTTGCCTTCGACGCGTCTTAAATTTTCCACATTCACATGTACTCATTTCACTCACCATCCACTAAGCAGGACATTCTATGTTCCAATTACATATGGAGCATGTATCGTTCCTTCTCTCACTTTTCCATATACTAAACAAAATCTGATATTTACATGAGTCCAGAATGAAAAGTAATAACTATACAATCCACAGATCTCACGACTTTGTGCCTAGACAATGACCACGTTTTCCAACCGAGGCGTCTCAAAACAGATTAATAAATGGCTCTTATGTAGAGATTAAAGTTTTCAAGGTGGAGACTCATTCACATGTACAAAATCTCATACCCTAAACTATCTCCAAGCTATGCTACGATGACACCTGCTGGGAAGGCTACAGGTCAACAGAGATACAAACTGATACACATCCTTCCAAAAACCGAAAATCCTTTGAAAGCATTTGATACCATGCACTGCATGTTCTGTGTTACATACGCACTTGACGGGATACAAATCAGTTCACGAAATTTCTCTTGCGAGACTAGAACTTGTCCGTCCTTTCCTGTCAGGTTTCAATTCGGAGATAATTTTCTCCTCAAAAAGCACGCTGTTGTCTATGGGGAAGCATACTTCATGTACCAGATCCAAATTTCTCAGTAAAAGTGGACGAACAGAGCACTCCATCACTTAAGCGATGCCTCCAACATCTACCTCCTCTATCCCACTGATAATATCCTGGAGTCACCTGCACAACTTTCTATATTATTTTTCTCATTTCGTCTACACTCTGTAGCGCTGCGGCTCCAGTAGGCAAGTTCTACATAAATTGTAAAAAAATCAGTCTCACAGATGGCCGAAGGGTGCGTGAATCCGTGAAACATAATCCACTTGTCTCGCTTATTGTTGTGCGCATTGCACTCGTGGACCTCCTCCAGCTTCCTCATCCTCATCATATGCCTCCTGTTGCTGTTGCTGTTGCTTTCTCTTCATTTCGTCCTCAATATTTACATCGTGTAAAGTAGTTTCCTCACATTCACCCAACTCCATATCGGTCATCTGACTAGATGGTCTAGGCGGCAAGACTGTTTCCAAAACCTTTTGCTGCTCGGGAGTCAGCGTGTTAGATTCCGGAAACTCCACGGTGAAATGCATATACAACCTACCCTTAATAAAAGGCCTCTGGTAGTGGGGCATACCCTCGTCGTTAATAGCCTTGAACTGACCTGGAATTAGAGAGGAAACGGGGTCAACAATCATCCACTTCACAATGAATGCTCATGCACGCAACACGAAACTACACTCGGAACAAGTGACGACCTGGCACACACTCGACATCGAGCGTAATAATATCTCAGTACAAAAAAATCAGAAACATATGCCCGCCTCTCAGACTAGCAGTGTGTGCACGGATGTGATTAACGATTAACTCAAACAGTACCTGGCTTGATAATTTCACCCGGGCTTGATTTGATAAGCAATTGTCTGTTGTCCAGATGAGTAAGAGGAAATTGGAACCCGCACAATGCCTCAGTCAAAGTCAAGGTGTGTTCCACGAATAGATCATCTCCTTTTCTCTTGAACTTTGGGTGCTCTTTCAACTGCAGAACGAAGACAATATCTCCAGTTTGCAGGTCGGGCTGCAGCAATGTAAAACAATAATTGAATATCAGTGTAATTTCATCTTGGGAGGATGATTGTTCCAATCAACGAAGAAAACTTCACGAGAAAACTTCACCTATCTACCAGCGCTTCAGCCACGGCACCATACCGATTCGTCAGCTTCACCCTGGAAAGTAATTTTCTGACCATTCTGCATTCCTTTCTCAACGTGAACTTCCAACAACTTCTTGTCTTGCACAACCTTCTGCCCCCTGCATTGACCACACTTGTCCTTCTCGCTAATGGTTTCACCTGCCGAGAGTTTGTGCATGAGCCAATCAGAGATATTATCCGAGGTGGGACCGCTAGCAAGAAGCTTGGCGTACGTGATTAAAATAGTCCGCACATGTCGGATCAGCGAATAGCGCAAATTAACACTGAGCGGGTGATTGAAAGCAGTGCATAAAGATGCAAAGACAAAGTGAATTATAAGAGCCAAGGGTAGAACGGGTGGTGTTTAACAGATTATTGAATGGGGCAGAACTCGATGGTCGTTCCCAACATCTGGAGGAAAGCAGCTTCCGAATCACCCACAGGTTCCGATGACGAGAGTTCACGTTCAGAATAACGAGCGCTCAAATCCAAAAGTACAGGACTATACTTTTGGATTACATATCAGTCTCTGCCCTTGAGAGACTGATATGTAATCCGAACGTTGACAATGAATTCTCTTCGCGAAAGAATGTTACGTTGAATGTTTCAAGTACGTTTACTTGTAATGAAGCACCCACAAGGCCATCTCGCGCGAACATTCATATGGACATTCACCCTTTCGCAACTACTAAAGCGGTGGTTGCAGGAAAATTGCCTCACCTGATCCTCGGCACTCAGGGCAGACGTGCTGCATTTGCTGAATCATGTTTGGGCCAAGCTGGCGAATAACGACCTTCATACCGGATCCCGAGCAGCCCGCACATCTGGAAGATGCTCCCGTCTTCGATCCCTTCCTGCACAACGGGTGAAGAGACATTAGGAGGGCTCGGTAACACCAAGAAGGTCAATAACACTAGGCCTCTGATAAAATGGTAACAGCTACGTCAGTTTGAAGGAGCAAAGTTCGAAAAATGAAACCCGCTGCCCATTTAAAAAAACTATGAACATCGGAATCACCAACGGGAAATCGTTCACTCTCAAGACAAGTCCAAGAAGGAGTGTCTCGTGCGAAAGAAATAGAACAGAAGCGTCCGTCAAGCTACAAATCAGACTGAGAACGTTGACTACAATCGGCTCTAAGTGACATCGCAGTGGCAAAACTAGATCACAAAAGCCTCAGCAATGGTATCAATTCATTGCGACTTTGCCCAGTGCAGAAAACCTACCCCTTGCACTTGGAGCAGATGACGTTCCTGGACAGCGAGAGCTTCTTAGATGTCCCGTTGTAAAGGTCTTCAAGGGTAACCTTCAGCTGATGTACGACATCCTCTCCTCTTCTCTGACGGCGGCCTCCGCGTACACTACCTGAATCACATAGCGGCCGTCAGTTCAAGCACATACCACTGTGCAGTCGTTGTAACAAACAACAACCGCTTACAACCTACTGAGAGCGGAAGTCTCGTAGAAGTTCCACTGTGCAATTCATCCACGAACGTTAAGTTTTTATTACAAACGCAACCACCATGCAAAAAGACCTAAACATTGAACATGCAGTATTGCGGAGGAAGGTTATATTAAAGGGAGCGGGGGACAGAGCACAGTAATGGCAGCGAGACAGAACACACTTAATCTTTCCTAATGCTCGGAACTGAACTAAGAGTAACAACAAACAGATCATACACCTTACAATAAGTGTGTAGTCCACTGTACCTCCAAAGGAACCACCACCGCCCGTGCCGAAGAACGACTCAAAGATGTCGAAAGGATTGTGTGACGCGCCTCCTCCACCCATGCCTTCCTTGAGGGCATCTTCGCCATATTGATCGTACAGATCCCTCTTCTCAGGATCGCTCAGAACTTCGTACGCTTGCGATATCTCCTTGAACTGCAGGGTATCAGAAGGTAGAGGTAAAACAAAAGACTAGCCGACTGTGAAAGTGAATTGCGTGTCCACGTTGAAATATCTGTCCATACAGATTAAGTCAGGCCGGTACTGAAAAGTCGGGACAAGTGCACAGAACTAGGGCATTTCGCTTGATAAGTATGACCGGCGAAGCTCTCCACAAATAGAGAAGCGGAAACACTGCGACTTTGGGGCAGCAGACCATGGAGAGCAAGCGCTTCGACAAATCCACCCTATATATTACGGTACATGTGCTCGGCGGGCTCGTTTCCTATGAAAGTTGTGAAGGACTAAGGAGTCACAGGTCTTCGTGCTCCGAGCTCCGTGAAAACATCGGATCCTCAACCGAAATAAACTACCAGTCTGGAAGCTATTGCACGTATCTAAACTACGGTCACTCAGCACGCACCTTCTCAGGGTCTCCGCCCTTGTCAGGATGGTTCTTGATGGCTGCTTTCCTGTAAGCCTTCTTGAGCTCATCCGCAGATGCACTCTTGCTGACTCCTAGAACATCATAATACCTGCTGTTGTCACTCTTCTTGGGCATGCGAGCGAACATGATTCCTGGCCGCTCCCAACCCAAGGCTAAAAATACTTCAGATTGCTACTTCCGCAGTACGCCGACCCCTGACTTGTCACAGTTCTCCCGATCCGACTATCGCCGCATACAACCGAAATTCCACGACCGCGACGCGAAAAACTTCACCGGATCTACTCGTCACGCCCCCGACACGACGATGATGAAGACGTCCTTCTCTGCTGCTCTCTACGACTCCCGCTCCACTACCGACGCTCCAGATTATTCACCGATATGGCAACAACAACTACAACCAATTCTTCCGCACCCCCTTCCTCGTCCTTCCTCCCTCGCGCTCCTCACCCACCGCTCCTGCTGCTTCCACTTCCAGCGGCGAAATAGAGTAGTAGTTCCCGTCCGCTCGCTTCACTTCCGCCTTTCCCCCGTCGATATGATGGCTCCGCTGACGCAGAATGCCTCAGAATGCACAATGAGACACTCGCGCGCCGATCTAACGAAGAGAAATACTCAATAAATGAGAGATCTAGCGCTTCTTCAGAGTCTGAATTGAAGACTCAAGGAGGGTGCAAGCGCTGATGAAAAAGACGTTCTGCAAGATGCGTTGCTTGACAAAGACGAAGAGTAGAGTCCTGTCGTCGAACGAGAGGAGGAGGTGCCTAGCTTTAATTTACCCAAGCTGGTCTCACATTACTCGCTCGCTCCGATCCGTCGATCTCCGAGCATCAACGGCCATGTGGTGCCAGTTGAAGCCTCCTTTGTGTGTGCTGTTTAGGTCTGGAGCTTGCCGCGACCGTCCGATGCGCCTTCAACGGTAGATTTCCTGCCGATGCTCGAACTCACTAGAAGAACCATCGCGCATGGCCATGCATCCCTCGCATGGATGCCTCTCCCCGGCGCCGCATCCATCCTCGGACATGACATGGTTGGGTCCATCGATGCATGCTCCACGGATGTTCCACATGCTCATGGCCATGCTAAAGACTACCATCTCAGCCGCTCGTATTGAATCCAGATCTTCCCAGGAACTACCACGTGTATATCGAAGACCCTAGAAGAAGGCGGGGCGGCGTCAACAACCGTGACCAGAAACCACGCCATGCACCACATCTTACATCTCTCATGCTCCCGGATTGAATGCCCATGGGCATAGGGACCATCTATGATTTGCGGTTTCTGTAGTATTCTGGAGTTTCCGGGGGTTTCTAGAGACTCCCGGCTTTATAACCTTCGTTGCCTCAGTTCGTTGCCGGTGCCACGTCACGGAACAAACTTCATTTAGAAATTTCGCACAATTCTATTTTCAGTATATTTGAGGTTTTTTTCCCCATAGCGTGTTTTTGTGGGAAAACAACACAAAACTCGCTTGCATTTGTTTCCACCTCCTGGTCGTTTTGTTTTGTATGGAAGGTGGGTGACCTTGAGATGGGCCAAGACGTACATTGCTTACGGTCGCCGGCTCATACAATTTACCGATGTAAGTGCAAGTGACATATCACCAACGTCATCGAACAAACTCTCTAGAATTGTCCACCGGATCCAGCATCCACTACTACTAAATATTTCCCAGCGTAATATCTCCGGATATTATTCACCTTCTACTCTCTGCGATTGCATTGAGACGGTTTGTTCCAAGAAAATCGGGAATTAAATTTTCCTATACAAATTTTAAGCAACTCTTGACACTCACAGCTTTTGAAAAATCTTCATGGTTGTAATCTGCTGTGCGGATAACTGATAGCAAGTCCTTATCCTGAAATTCCGTTTGGTTTGATCCTTGTACGACTTGATGGAGTGTTCCCATTCTTTTTGTTATTCTACTTTGTACTATCCTGATATAAAATCCAGATGAAAACATCAACATTTGATGAACCTTCGTAATTACTTTCTATCCACGCACTCCAACAACTTGATTCTCGATAAATCATGTTAAAGGTATGTTAGTAAATATTTTAAATCCATCGTCGACTGTGTTTCTGAACTCGAGAATGTTGGTATCTAACAATCATATCTGGTATGTTCAGCAAGGTGATAAAGCAAATTGAAAATTTAAGTTAGTCGAATATCTATCCACGATATTACATTGACTTCCGCCACGATATCTTTCGTGGGTTTCATGTACTTGAAGATGAAGGTAGCGGAATTCCTTCGGAGCACTTCACATTTGAGCGAAAGAGTCAATGGTAAATTGGAAGAGTGAGGTAAGCTCCACCAACCGGGACCAATATGTAGATAAAGTACCTTTGAATTTAACATACAAAACATACATACGAATAATCATAAATTTCCATTCAATCAAACTGCTCAATTCAGAAGAACTTAACACACGTTGACATTGTGTAACATAAAAGATTACAACACAAGTCTGTTTATTCATCTTAGTGACGATTCTTCTTTAATTTATTGATGGCTGATAATATCGGAAAGAATTCATACTTGAATTATCATTAAAAACTTAACACGTGAATAAATAACATATTCAACAAAGTAGATTCAAAGATAATTTACTTGTGAATCAATGAACAAATCCAAACTCTTATATTTCTTTGAATATAAAGCTTATATTTATAAATTTGAATATAAAGCTTTATATAATATCCAAGCTTTATATTCAAATTATCTTGAATTTATTTAGACCAAGTGTCAATCCTTGAGAATTTTCATTATCAAGGTAAAGATATTGTAAGACTTTCCGTAATCAAGGATAGATTATAAAGTTTTTGTAAGAAATCGTGTAATCTTAGTAGTACATGATTTACATGGTATAATGTATACCATATTATGAATATTCACATGACCTTAAACACAATAAGTTTGCAATTTAAACCCGTCATCTCATCCATGTACTATTTGATGGGAGAGTCTACTTGATAGGATTTTTGCATGACACAAATAGCTCACTCGGAGCATCACATATAATTTTACTCCATGAAACTCTGCTGAAAACACATCATCACCAAGTTCTAAAAAAAGTGATAGTAACTATATGCTGCGAGATATTGTGTGAGGGAGTGATTGACCGATTGAGCTGTAGTGTGGGGAGTGAACTCTTGAATTCCAACTTGTTTGCAAGTTTTGCCAACGCAATATCAAATGTCATCTTGTAGAGATATTGCAACTGAAAGTGTATCTCGATGCGTTTTTCTGGACACTAATTATGCTAAAATTGGCCTGAATTTTCTTCAAAGAAACTATCAAGCAGTGATTAGATCATGTAAATCATTTATTTCGTTTCTATTATAGGAAATTTTATTTTTCCAGTTTCCATGTTGAGCATCTCTTTGATTTAACAAACTTCTTAATCATTTAATGGCTCTTTCAGACATCTAAGACCAGTTCCATGTAATAACCAAAAGAATGAATATGATCTCAGCGTTTTAGAAATTAACAACTGTTGTAAATTTTCTTTGCATTGCAAACAATTTTTGCAACAACCCATGAGCTCCCCTCAAGCCCCCTCCGCTACTGCTCATTTCTCCTTTTGCCTCGCTACCCGCACTCTCTATGTTAGAACTAATTGTTGGTCGTATTGGAACATGAGTGACATCGATGATATACTATGGGGTAAATTAATATTTGTTGATTCCGATAAGCTATTTGAGTTATGCAAGTCACCGTCAAATAATTTTCTCATTCGATCGGGAACTAACTTGCAATTTATTAATTGCGTGTATTATTTTGGGGGCTTCTTTACGCTGCTTGTTGTGAAGTGAAGTTAATTACTGATTACATAATTTTGAAATAAGATAATTCAACTTAAGTGTAAATGAAAACTCGTTTGACTTAAAAGTCTTTTGAATGTGCATCCATCTTTCACTTTAGTTCAAAGTAAACTCTAGACAAATAGTCGATGTAGCACGGCAATGCATACCAAAGTATTAGTAACCAGTTTAGTCCAAAGAGTGCATGATGTTTTAATAGTAAATGTTGATGCCGTTTGCAGCAATTATTATCAAATATTATGCCATGAAAATGAGTAATTAAACCATCCACTCGATTAAAATGACGAACATTGCGCCGAATGATGCGACCAACACTCGACATAAATATTTCATTGATTATATTTACGAAGTTTTACAAGTCTGAATTTCTCTAAACTCCACCATAGTCGCAAAACATATAATTGTTAATATATTCTGTCCGATTGTGGCTTATCACAGTTGACATCCAGAAGTCTCTGACCCATATTCACTAGAGAATACAAAATGGTTCATGTGGGCCAACGTGTCAAGCGTTGGAAAAAACTGCAACACTGTGGCGGGCCAATATAATGCAGGTGACATGCTTAGTCTAGATGGGAACGTGCGACATTAGGGTTTGTTTGTTTTGGGTAGACTGTTTTGGTAAGCACCGTAGAGACAATTCCCAAACATGCTAAAAGTTAGAAAGGTAGGGACGATCGAATCTCCTAACGGAAGAGAACGTGTCAAATGAATCTCTGCTTCATAACAATTGGGGAATCTGGTGTGTGGTCACCTTTAGCCATTTGTGAGGGGAAGTGTGCTCTTACCCTACTTTCCGAGTTGGTGAAAAGTAAAAACCGAAATCTCATTGATCTTCCCTGCGTTGCTGTGTTGTCTGCTTAAAACTTCCCGATGTCAATGAAATAATTTTGGATGTATGGGATGTCTGTCCTCTTCCTGTCCATCAATTCTACACCCCAGCTGTCTGCGCGAAGTTCAGAAATACAAGATTTTTCTTGTGAAGGTTGGAAATCTTTCTTCATTTCAACGACCTGCATTTCTTCATGTACAAGGGGCCTTGTGTGATCTAAAAAACCAAAGGTCAACCAAAGGTTTTCATATGTTTGCTCTATCTTTCCCGGACTGGATTGCAATCTGTCGATGAGCATTTCCGCATGTCCAGCAAGAGCTGAATACAAGAGCTTTTCTCTTAGGCCTTCCGTTTATTCTTGGTCGATGGCCGTTGCATTGAGAGAATTAGGGTACCTCGTCGGTGTCTGAAGGAACTGTAATTTCTCCACCGACCTTCATCAACTTTTAGCGTACCGTGACGGATGCACTCGAGTGAAACCTGGAGCTCAAGCCCTACCCTACCGTAGTGTAGTACCGACATTCGAGGCAGACCTTTGATGTCAAGCCGGCAGTTTTGTCCGAATAGTATGGTGTAAGCGGATCCCCTGTTCATACGAGTTCCCTCCTGGTCTCACGTTTTGATGGGAGAAGTCACACTATACCAATTAGGCCGAACCTTTTTCAGGTTAGATGCAGGAGGCAAGGGTACATACATTTCAATGTTTCAAACTGGGAATCCAACTTTATCTTCTATGAGCAAAACGTGATCTGAATAGTGGAGATAGTTAGTGACAGTAAATATATTTGCCAGTGTGATGCTATCGGTGCCTAGCCCCATATACCCCATTGGTTTCAATTTTTTGCGCTTGGACTCGATGGGTCTCCATCCTTTTGCTATATTAGTCGGTTTTACTAAAGAAGAACAGAAAGCGAAAACTGACTCATTTACTCTTCGACGTTGGAGTGAAAGATTTCCGCCAATAAGAAAGGCCCCATTCCACCGCATGAGGTTTGGAAATGAAACCCCAAAAGGTCGTTTCCGGGCAGGGACTGTCTACCAAGCGGGGTTGATTGGACCCAGAGGGTGGGGAGAAACTTGGGCGGTGTATACGTGGCAGAGCGTGTAGTTTGATGGAAGACTCGACGGGCATGTACATTGTTGGGTACAATACGAAGACCACCCTCCTCGAATGGTAAGGGGGCGCACGACCATTTCAAAGACGATTCACATGAAGTAAAAACATAAAAATGTCATAAACGTGGAACTATGAGTCGTCACGCACACGGATGAATGAGTCATGCCGTTCGTCCGTAGCAAAGGAGGTTATCTCGCATACAAGAGGATGTCCATCTCTGTAAAAGTTTTCTCGATCCAACTAAATTTAATGTCATTATTTTCAACAAAGGAATAAGCTGTAGCTACTTAGTTTGTGTTTTCGAACAACGCTGCGGATCGTTGTTGCGCGTAGACAACAAAGATAAAACGTCCTGAAAGCAGAGTGCGGTATAACTTGGTACCTATAATTTCACGTGTGTTTTTTGAAATGGTGAACTCGGGTGGTTTAAAATAGACAGCCAAGTACAGTATTCGAGTGGTGCATGCCCCCTGTCCGCTTCCGAAGTCCAGCTCCACATCACGTGCCAAAATGAGAAGAAGCTCATGATTTTCTGATTTGTGAAAGTTTGCTTTTCAAAATCCCACTCGCTGATTGGTGTATGACTGTGGTTTGTCGTTTAATTCTGGTCATTTAGGAATAATAGGATGTGTAACAACAAGGGGATTGTACATGTAGTCAATGTACGGAAACTTTTTGTCAGTTGTAGGGACGTAACCTTACGAGAAAGCGTCCACTTTTGGTTTCTCCCCGCTGGAGAGAGGAGTAAACAGGAGGTGTCCTTCCTGCGGGTTGCGACGCTGGACACTTGCCCAGGGTGGTTCCATTTTTTCTTTAATATTCGTGGTTAGGACTTGGGTTCAGAAGGTGAATAGTTGGGAGTTGTCGGGTTGAACATTTCAGAAGTGGGGAGGACCTTCTGGAAAGTGCCGCGTTTTATCTTGAAGAATCTTCATGAATGTCCTGCGGGGGAAGCACGCGACCACGAATCGGTTTCGGTCTTAGGGAGTGGTGTGGACTTTCTTGACACACGAGGAATTCACTGGAAGTCCGAAGTTGGGTGCACTCCACGTACAGGAGCCCAGAAGATCGAGACGGTGTAGAGCAGTGGTAGGGCAGGGCTGTTAAACGGGGATTTTTTTCCCTTTTTTTGGGTCTATAATAAGCTTTTGTGACGAGATATGCAGCGACGCACGATAGCTTCGCTTGTCTCAAGCCTTGCACACCATGGTACATTTGTGGTGTGGCTATCTCCCACGGCGGGACTTAGCTGCCCCGCCGTTCGTCGTTGCGTATCAGGGTTTGTCCTTTGCCCTGGCCTTGCAATTTTCTATCGATCACTTTGGAACTTTTATCCGTATGGCCAACGCTGTACGAAGGAATTGTAATCTGGCATGAGAAATTTGGCCAGTATGTGTGATTTTTATGTAAATTTTGTTTTCACGAGATTTTCAGGGTAGCAGAAACGGTGACGGAAACTGTCAAAACATCAAATGCCCGAATGGCCCGAAGGGCGGGAGCCGTAGCTCTGTGCGGGGCCATGGGATGGGCAGCAGCTAGTGCCGCCGAAGATGTTTACATCTATGATCAATGTAGCAGGTAAACCAATTGTCGGATGCATTCCACCTGATACATGTATTTTTCACGTACATGGCTTGAGGTAGAACGTCAAATCTGAAAGATCTGTAAGCATGAGAGACTTTGCCGTGCAGCTGATATTGGGTCCGTGTTGCTCTATTGGAGCTTCAGTGTGGATTGATGGCATGTTGAAGGCGGATGCTTGCCTCTAGACGTTACTAGAGGCTGATGACCAGTGTACTCACGTGAATCTCAGCAAGGCTCTTGAGAAGGCATCACAAGATCCACGACTGAAGGAATATATCGGAGAGGGGATCAAGTTAGGTCAATGGCACTGGTATGAGGCTTCCCTCGCAGTGGCTCACAAAGGAATGTCAGCGTCATGCAGTTTCCCTGTATACGGCTCCCATGGAACGGCTAATCTACATCTCAAGGCAGTGCGTTTACACGGTAAAGAATTCCACGATCTGGCTCTTTTCATGCATTTTTAAAAATCACACTGTTTACATCTGTGAGATTGCACGTAATAATCATCAGCTTCTGACACATCTGGTGATAACTTGTGCAGGTAGAAGAGAATCAGTTTTCCACAATATATTTGGAGGAGGTCAATGGGAAGTTTTGATGCTGGAGGCTCAAGTACCTGGGTTTACAGATGGAATTTCAGCTTCGTCTTCTCAAAGGATAAATCTTATGCAGACATCAGATGAACCCAAGACCGGAGATGGTGCGAAGGGGGAGGAAGCGGGCCCTTGCATATCTGCTAATTTACAAGAAGTTTAAAGTATTCCGCGCCCAACGTCTTCCAACGTCACCCTCTACTTTCATTGAAGTTGTGGGAGTAATTGCAGGTACTCTTTCCACAACCATTGTCGCTGACACTAGTTGTTGCGCCTCCTATGTGGAGGATGTCTTTAACTCTTAGAGGCCCGATACGCGTTAAGGTTTTGCGTTTAGGTTTAGGCTCCTCTTCATAGGTTTATGCGAGCATCAACTGTCACCTCCGACAGTCACAAATGAGATTGTCACGATCCAGTATTTTTTAAGGTTTGAATTTACGGCACTTGCTGTATGTGGGTTTGTGAAGCTTTGTACCCAAGTTGGCGTGTGAGCCCTGATTTCTTAGCATCCAATCTAAGGTACAGTGTAGGCCTATCTGCACTTCGTGCTAATACAGGAATGCTACATTAACCTGCCATCAGTCAAGTTGCGCAAGTAGTGACTCGTCCGAGCATGTCATTACTTGATACCGCGGCTCACATAGTCGTAACTTTCAGGCGTCGTCGCAAGCTCAACATGTGGAAGGGATTTGGGTGTTGAGTCCTACTCAAACCGCTGTGAATTTTTGTATTCCGTCTCAGGGATGATGTCTGTAATTTTCAGCATTGTGCCGATAAACGAATACTAAATATGAAGGACTATTATCGAGGTTACGTGCATCCTTGCACCGTGGCCTCAGACGTTGATGAGATCTCCTGTTTATCTCCTCTCTTCTGATCACCTTGAAGCACTGTGGTGATGAGCAGTTCTAAAATTTTTCAACCTGCAGTCGGCACCCGCATTTCTATTCTGATTGCCGTCACGTTTTTTCGTCCTGACCGAGTGTGTATTATCCATCGTGGGATCTTTCTTCATTATCAGTCGAGTTAGGGAACCTGTATTCGAATGCTTCACTGTGACCTAAACTATCACAAGTGCTAACAGTCGACAGGCCTTTTTGAGCTTCTGGTTTAAGTTTGATAAATTATGCTACCCATGATGTTTTGAGTTTTTTTCCCAAGTGATCAAAACTTTTTCGTACCTACCTGCCCTTGCTCCGGAAGTTACTTCACTTATGGTATCGTGGTACGTCTTTGTAAGATGAAAATTTCTTCTTTCATGATATAGCTCATATGTCTCTTCTATGCCTTTCAACTTATTCCCTACTCTACTCTATATTTGCTAATTGTTCCAAAGTTTTCCAGGTGTTCAAATCGCCTGGGTCTAATTTTTCGCATCTGTGTAAATTATTCATTTTGATAAGATAACGCCTTTAAGTCCGTTTAATATTTTGCACTATTTTAGCACTATGCGGTGTCGGAAGAGATTATAACTATGTCGCCTATCCAGGTGTCAAGAATCTCGGTACTGTGCCATGTTCTGTCCGAAAGATGTCTTTGTCGGTCCATCACTTATTTTCTTTCCGCCCTGTGCAGTCTATGGTGAGTGATTTCTTACAGAAGATCTCTCTAGGTGTTGGTGAGTGAGATTTTCTGTCAAGGCGGAAGACCATTCGTAAATGGTGCCACAATGTCCTCAACCATTTGGTATTGATGAAGAAAAAGGCCCCCGTACAAGAATCTGAAGCATATCTAATCGAGCTGAAAGTTTTTGATCACGGAACTCGTTCAGCCCTGCTCTAGTTCGTGACTTGTTTTCTGATGTCCAATCTCTGCAATTCTTGTAAGTGTTCTAGCTTGGAATTGATTGTCTCAAGGGCTAAGAATGCTAGTTGTACGCAGCGAGTATATTGACATTCTAAAAACTTCTTGGTTGCTAAATGTCTCTAAATGAGAAAGTGTGCTAGTATTGAGAGTTGTATAATTTCAGAACTTTTGCAAATGTGCTTGTCCTAGCGGTGTTAGGTGTTGTTTAGTCAGACATTCCGCAGGCTAGAGGCGGTATTGTACCCAAAGTCTGATGGTGATTGTAAGACCTTCCGTGAGTGTGAAACTGAGACTTTATGAGCGTAGAACTGCTCTGTTTAAACGAGTACAGAGGCTGACTTACAAATAAAATCCTTCATAAGTTACCAACACGGACGACATTTAGGCAACGGTTTGTCAGTGAGATGTATAAAGCTAGAGTATCTATGTTAGGACCTCATCTCTACGCTTTAACTCGAATTCAGGAGCGAATGAATAGACTTTCTTGAGAACGCTACAATAGAGACCTTTAGCTGGCAGTGATGCCATGTACACAGAAGTAATGTGAGAATATCTTAGATTTTGCTCTGGCATTATTCTTTGTCACAATTTTCATAGGCAGCAGTAAGATGTACCGTGAATAAACATTCCGCAAAGAATTGTTTATGCACTATTTCTGAGTTCGACCGTTTTGATGACCTAGGCGCAGTTGATTGTTAAGCAGGGAGGAAATCTTGCACCTCGAGAGTCGAAAGGATCTTCAGCCTTGAGACTTTGATAATTTCATGAGAAGGCTTCTGCATCTCGCTTTTATATGGCTATAATTATCAGTTCCTTTCACAAAGTTCTTGCGTCTATATCGAGAACACGCTACTCATGAAGATGAATATTTACTAGTTGCCTGACCATTCGTGCTAACAAACCTGTAATGTAGACGAAATTTGTGAAGCCAGGTTCAAATAGATCAGAAAAGATGAAGTTTAGACCAAGTTATGTGATGAGGGTCAGAATTTGAGGTGAACCTGAATCTGATATGATTGATATTCGATTTGATGATCTGCTGGAAATAGTTCAGGGAATATGAAACAGAGTACGAGAGGTTACAAGCTACTGATCTCACAAGCAGGGCACTGGAGGAATCGTATAAGCCTGTCGTCACGGAGCAGGAAAGACCACTTCGTGTCGAACCTATGTGTCCCTTCCTTCTGCACATTACATCAGACTTATGTTGGTCATAATTTACGTCAGATGCACCTGAAATACAAGAAATCTTATCTTGTAAGTGCTCTAAGTTGGTTCCTCAAACGAGCATCGAACGAAAATATTGCGCATGTTTCTTCGACATTAGCAAAATTCTCATGTCTTCTCACAGGGGAAGCTAAATTATTATATTCTGTCAACGCACGAAGGAAAGAGCAACTGTAACACGATTAGGAAGACGCCTTATGTACAAAAATCACATCCTGCACTATATATCATACACTCACGGTGGTATAAATTCCGAAAAATATTGAAGTATGAGTAGGCACTCAGATGATCCACGAGTACCATCAAGAATAAAAAAAACAAATAGCCGATTATTTTAAGGGTCTGCCAAACTCTCAAACGCGAAACGTAGCGTGCTTTCAACAGGAGAAATCACAAAACTGTACTGTGCACGCGTGCGACCACTACAAGCTCTCCTATACTTGTTCGTAGACTAAATTAACTTAATTTACTCTCACGAGTAAAGTTAATTTAGACAGTGTTAATGTAAAGTTAATTTAAATTTCTCACATGTGTTAGTTACTCACGAAGAAACTAACAGCCCTATTAAATAGCCGCTTCTTTTAACTGCAGTACAAAGAAACCTGTTTACATTAAAACAAATTACATCTATACTCACAAACTATCTCATAAATTATATTCAACGTTAAATTGAAGAGATTTACAGTCAAAGCAATTGTTGGAAGTGCCGCTAGTATTTTTTATAAAAATGCTCCGTAAGAGTGCAATGGAAGTGGTAAGTTCCACTGCCATCCTACGGAGCACTTTCAACCTTGACATACATTCACCACTTTACTCTGCTTATAAAACGTGCAGTTTTGCACACAGATTCTTACATATCATATATATATATATATATATATATATATACATACTTCCCAGCATTCCATTACATTGTGTGTCAACATAGCACATCTGTTACAAACCAATCTTTAGTATATAAAATTCACCTGCAAAGATGTTAACTTGTACGTTAATGTGGGTCACAAGTGCTCATCAAAAGATTCTCTCCGTTCTAGAGAATGTGAAGTTCCCTTTGCGCATGCTATACTATTTCCTTTGGAGACAGAATCCTAGTTCTCTGCCTTCAATCTTAATCTCATCACTTCTCATGCCCTGCACTAAGTTCGAGTAGCCTTTTGCTTCCACTTTGCGGCTAATATTTGCTATGTAAGAGGGCAAAAACTATTGATAGTTCGAGAACTTACCACCATAACGGTTAAAGTTAATGTTCATCATTAATTTAGGCGATGCGACATAAGGTGGTCTACATTACGTCTAAATTACTGTACATAATCTGCCATGATGATTAGTCTATTTACCTAAATTAGCTTAATTTAGTACCACAAAAAGATCTTTGTTTAGGTTTAGTTTAGACGATGTTTAAATTTGAAACTTATTTAACATTTATAATGCAAAGCAATTGTTCAATGAAGATACATTGCAGCACTCTCTCCTAAACAACATTCCAAAACTTGCCCAAACGTACTTGCAAGACTTCAATTCAACCATGAATAGCAAACCCTGTATAAACACCACCGACATACCTATCCACTACTACTTAAATTCATCCTTGGGACGTGGAATCTGTTCCGAGCAGCAAACCGGTTTTACTCATTGGGTATCACATTAACATGATCGTCAAAGTCGCCTATTGGCGTTGAAGACTTACCATGTGTTTAATAACCTCCTTAGGGGTTTAAATAGTGTATATATCAAGCTCAAACCTTCAAAATACGAACAAAAATTGTAGAGCAATATCTTTAAAACACCATGCTATGGTTACTAAAAAAATAAGCTTAACATATTCACAATTTAATTGATTTTAATGCGATAGAAACAGCGATAATTTTTTATTATAGCAATTCTAAGAGCAGCGTTTTAGCTTGGCCAATTGTATGCTACTTTCCTGTTTAATGCTTTTATCAGAAGCATTTTCATCTGAGAGATGCAATTATGGAGTTAGAACTAACGTTATTAACATCAAACATACAAGATTGCATTGCAAGATCTATTTTTCCAACATTTGCAGTGAAAAAAATTGTTATAGTAATAGTAGGTAACATCGCAGCATCTTTCTCTTTGATCTCTAGTCTAACCAAACAACACTGCAATATGGCTTTCAGTGCTTTTTTGGCTCACAATTCTATGGGTACAAGGAGATCCAGAGTTATCTAGTTTATGCATAATGAATTCATCAATAAAAAAGTTAAGGAAAAAAATATTACTCCTTAAGAAGGACACGTTAGTATGAAGTACGCCAATTTAACAATTGTTGTGGAAGAGCTGTTTCTTCTATTTATCTCAATTAAATCCTTAGTGACTTTCCAATGAAGACAAAAAACATATTTGCCTTTATGCTTGAAGCTCAACTTCAATGTTTCTTTCATGAAAACTTTGAAGTTTTCAACTTCATATTGAATATCATAGGAAACTTCCACTCTAAAAGCTCCCGTAATTAAATCATCGCTTCTCAATAGTACTCCTTCTAATGCTGATGCCTAACACCAGATTAAAACAAACTGTGGCTTGACTACCTGCCAATCAAATGGGATTATACCTTATCACAATGATACTCTTTGGATTTGTTCGCTATTGACAAATGCATGTTGGTGTTTGTCAAATCAGATGATCAATTCACGCACTACGGATTAATAACTCAAATTAGTAAGACTCAATAACAACATTGTTGATTTTAGAAGGCTTGAGCTGGAAAAGCTCTGCCCGTTGAGCTGAAATTTAGGCATTGATGAAGAAAACACATTCTATGTGTGCATACTTGATGCGACATGCAACAGAAGACTTGATTCAGATGCTATTCTCGCGTATTGGTAAAAATAAGCACTTTGTCATCACACAAACTAGGGAGAGAGCTGACCAAGCTCGCCTTCAAGCTAGAAGAGTTGGTGCAAGCAATGCACTCCATTGGAAAATTCATTAGCTTCTTCAGTTATTGGTAAAAATGAGCACTTTGTCATCACATAGACAAGGCAGAAAGCTGATTAAGCTCTCTTTCAAGTTGGAAGAGTTGATGCAAGCAATGCAAGCCAATGTAAAATTCATTAGCTTCTTCAACGACAACTGCAAGTGTAATCTGTAGACACACTCTTTGAAAATCTTTGAATATCTCTACTCCTTGAGTTTAGCAATTTGAAATTGAAGGTGGTCTAGATGGTTAAATCCGCTTCAATACATTAGGAAGAAGCATATGACGTACTTAAAAAAATGCAACGAAGTATCAGAACTTTACTTTAGGGTTAAGGGTTTAACACTTGAGCCAAAACCGTTGTTTAGGTCAAAGAATCCATTGCAAGCTATAAAAGAGGAGTCATTATAGTTCTAATAAATCAATTGGAGCTAGTCTTGCAATACAAGGTGCAGAAATTTGATTCATCTCTGTTATATATTGCAGTTACATATTACAACAAAATATGATACTGATACAGGATATGACTAGTATGCTATTGTTTAGATTTATAAATCATGAGTTTTGCCATAATCTGAATATTGTAACCTAACAATCTCATCAAGATTTCTAATATTGGATGTAGTTTGTCAATATCACTATCCAAAAGGGTTTTTAACTGAAAAATGTCGTGACAGACCTAAATTACTATAGGTTGTTATATGAAAATAGCTAAGAATTCAAACCATCGCACATAAAACATGACAAAACTTTAGATTAAGAAAGTGTCTATCCCGAGCAATGACTACAATTTAATCAATTTGTAATCAAAAGTGAAAAACCTATCATCATAATCGAGTAGAGGTTTAAACCTTAGAAATGCATGCTTATATTTTTTGAATTGAGAAGTTGGAGTGAAAAAAAGTAGAAGTATTTTTCAACCATCTTGCTTATGATCTTGTCCCCAAATACAATAGATATACAAAAAATCCATAAGCACAACTGCCAGCTTATGATGACAAGGCTATATGATAAAACATGTTTGAAGATTTAAACAAAAAATCTTTAATAGAAGAAGATGTACAAAGAACTTCATTGTCATCAAATCTCTCTCACAACAAAAGCCCAAGCTTACTTGATTAGAAAACAGTAGTATACATAGATGTGTCACCATCTCTAATCATATTGAAAAAATCATAAATAAAATTTAGATTCCTAATTTGAGTAAATTGAAGGTGAAGTTGATTGATGAATACTAACATAGAGTTAGAAAGAATGATTACAACGCAATGTAACAATTACTGCTCAAATTGCTCGATGAACATCCATAGAGTTAGAAAGAATGATAATAATGCAATATAATAATTACTCCTCAAATTGCTCAATGAATATCCATTGCTTCGACTACAACATGCCATTCAATTGAAAATGTGATAATCTCTTGCGAAAGTTGTATTTCTTTCATCACGTGATGGAAAAATCCGACTCCACAATGATGTTTCCAACAAATAGGGTGGTCCGAACTTCACGGAACTTCATCAAAATTTGTATCCAATTAAATTTCAACCATCATTGAAAGCTGAATTGACTAGATAACACATGATGTTCTACTTGAATAAGGATTCATAGCAATAAGAATGGAGTGAGAGCTTATGCTAGTCGGTAATAATCTCAATATACTCTACCGGTGTTCTAGTTGGTAGCTCTACTGATGAGTCATGCGAATATATTTCACAGTTGATAGTTTGACGAGCTTATGTAGTAACACAAGTGGAAAATAAGATAAATTGACCACTGCATTTTTGTCTGCATTGCGTAGAGCAGACACTTTACAAATTTGATTGCAGATGTTGACATAAACAGAATCGATGTCGTTTCAAAGTTTTCTTTTTTGACCTTGATCAACTTCGTCAACAATCGTCAAGAAAGACATGTTGATGACGAACTCTTGGATAAAAGACAATGGAACGACATAGCAATCGTTGATGACGTTCGATGCGTCAAGATTTGCAATTGCGTTAGGAGTAAGTAATCCAATTAAGCTAACGTCATCAATGAAAGAGGCGACAAGATCATCAAAGCTAGTTGATAAGTTGTTGAGTCATAACTATTGAAAAACTCTTCATGCATGGTGCAGATGGATAGCTATGCGTTGCAGGTTGATAATATACACAACTTTGATGAAGTTGGTGATGTCATTATGAGAGCAAACTAGTATGAGAGTATTGTGCAAAACATAGTAAATGCAATTCAATCTGTTGTATCTAATCAAAATGAAGCACTGCATGCCATGTATAGTACTGCCAACTGGAAGATAATGATTTTTGACTTTCAAATAATGATCAATAAAGCATGACATGTATCCTTCTTATCATTTTCTTACTACTTCATGCTTTGAAACAATAAAAACGCTCGCTCTTTTGCCAATGTTGCATTTTGAGCACGTTAGCAAATTATACTATAGCGATTAGTCTTACTGCCGAATGAAAACTCATTCACATCACTATCTTAATTGCTATTGGCGACATCATCCGTATCAAACATCATGTTGTTAATAATCATGTACACAATATACTTCTTGATGTCTAACACAATTTTCCGCTTAGCACCAAGAGATGAAGACGGGAATGCCAGTTAATAGAATTTTTGAACACGACCAATACATTTGTTATTGAGATAGTTTCATACTTTTCTCTTTATTCTAAAATCATGCAAAATTTTTGATGTCAATGAATATTGATGAATTAATGCACTTGCCATTGATGATTGAATCTCAAATTAAAAATCTCTATGCATTACGAAGTATTTTGAGAGATGATTATATGGGGAGTAATTTGTGATGAAACAAACTTGTGAACTGCAAGAGATATGTAAAAAACTGTTGAAGTAGAGTTCTTATGATTTGGTAATTTGTCATGTGAATCATAGTTATATGACATTGAGTGTCTCATGCATGAGACCAGAATAGAGATTGCGAAGAACTAACTGTCAAAAGTTGAACTTAAAAATGTAGTTCAACTTTTTGAATTTTCGTACTTACACAAAATAATATGCCACGATGAACATGCGGAAAGTGTGGAGTTAGTCATACAAATTCAACCTTTCGATTTACAAACATAGAACTGTCGATCTCGGGCCTCAATGATGGAGATGGAGAGCACACCACACATTTGAAATCTGTTTAGAAATTTCTGTCTTGTCTAAATGAGTGTATCCTAAACAATGAAACGTCGAACCCATGACTCTAGTGTCTTCGCGATGGAATCGTTGATTGATTTTGAAACTCGTTTTAAGTAGTTCCATAGACTTCCTGAACGGTGAGATCTTTACCCGTGGTCAAAATTCGCTGTAGCAAGTTTAAGCCGAAGTGTAAATTGGGAATTGTATCCTTCCGTGGATGTTTCAAGAGGTTTGTAATATATTCAAGTATAAACTCACAAGTTTGAGAAATCAAAAGTAAGTATATATATATATATATACAAAAAGAACGGAAAGCAGAGTGTATAGAAAAAACTATGACGATACCCACAAAATACAAGAAAGAATTATATGTTTAGAGTGATACGATAATATCGTGATTGTATGATTATTCTTTCGCGCGCTTTATATGTAATAATATAAAAGATGTGCGATACAGTTTAAATAAACGTACAAGATTTCTTAAATATAAAAAAAGGCAGATGTAAAGGTCGCGAAGCTGTACACAACATTGTTTTGGAAAATATGGCATTAAAAATTGTGAAGTTGGCCGTATTTCATATCAAGCAATTGAAATAGCGCGTCGTGCTGTAAGCATAAAAATTCGAAGTATATCAAATTTTATTTTTTTAAATTACAATAAAACTTAAAAATACAGCAACATCTATGCAATTCAAGGAAAATCCAACACTTACCAACTTGTGTTGGTTGGTTGTTTTTCTTTCACTAACTAGCGTATTTGGTTTCCAGGACCTGGGAAAACAAAGCTGAACTATTTAATGCCTCGATGAGAGGAAAACTGATCATGCGCGTGAAAATCAAGATTAGGAACGGCTTGTAAATTAGGCGAGCAGGAATAGTTGGCTCTAAACTTGGCGGAGAGAAGGGTGAGTGGACCGAGCACTCTAACCTAACGAGTTAGTGTCGGTCTGACAGTGGTAATGGAATGGGCCCTTTGTTCGTGAGAAAGCTGGGACCGAAAGAAAGCGAGGGACGAAGCAGGGAGGGCGGGGAGGAGAGCTGGAGAGCGACTGAGGAGCTGGGGCGGGTCGAGCGTTTCGTCGAGGAAAATGGAAGTGGACATTAAGCGATTGTAGATGCGGGTGCTGGTACTAGCTGGGCTGGGCCGGGGTCGGAGATTCAGCTAGGCCTGCCTGCCTGCCTGCATCCTCGAGAAGATGGATCAGGTGTTCGCGCAGATTCGATCGGATCTGTCATCCAACGATGGGCTCCGACAGGCGCAAGCGTTGCTAGCAGCGCTGCAGTATTCCGCTGCCGGGAAGGATATCTCATCGCTGTCTCGGATTGCCTGCGAGGAGATCATTGCCAGTCCTGCCAGCGCCGTGTGTAAGAAGCTCGCGTTCGATTTGATCAGATCCACTCGTCTGACCGCGGATCAGTGGGAGATTGTGTGCAGGGGCGTGAAGAACGACTTCGATTTTCAGGACTCGGACGTCACGGCAGCTGCCGTGTCCATCGTCGCCGCAATACCTTCGTGGCGCCTAGGGAAGCTGATAATAGATTGTAGTAAGGAGATTTCCAACTGTTTGGTGGACAATAATCCGAACCTCAGGTACAATATTGTGGAGACTTTGGGATGTTTGCTGGCTCGGGACGATGTGGTAACTCTTTGCGAGTCGAATGTGACGCTTTTGGAGCGAGTGTCGACATGGTGGAAGCAAATAGGGCAGAGTATGCTGGATGCGTCGGATGCTGTATCGAAGGTTGCCTTTGAAGGTGTAGGCAGGCTGTTCACAGAGTTTTCGACCAAAAGGCTGAGTCGCTTGGCAGGGGACAAGTTGATACCTAGCGAAGCTTCTCTAGCTATTCGATCGGCATGGGTTTCTGCAATGTGCAGGTTTGTTTGGGAGAAGCGGGACTTTTTGATGGCAAGATCGCTGATTTTGCCAGTCGAGAACTTCCGTGCCACAGTTTCTCCCCTCGTGTTCGCTGTGAAAGCAGTGACTACTGGGATGGTGGAAGAAATGCAGGCCATTACTGGACAGCAGGGGAGTCCGAGAAGCCCTCTGGAAGAAAGGGACTTCGTGAACGCGGAGAGGATTTTGGGTGTTTCGGATCTGGTCTCCCATTTGGTGCCATTTCTCTCGTCTCTGGACCCCGCCCTGGTGTTCGAGGTTGGCATCAATTTGCTCAGCTTAGCCGATGTTCCTGGTGGGAAGCCCGAGTGGGCATCTGCTCCAATCATGGCTCTTCTCAATCTCTGGGACAGGCAAGAATTTCGAGCAGGAAGGGAGAGTATTGTCCGTGCAGTGGTTAAAAATCTGCAACTGTTGGACCTTCATATGCAGGTGGCATTGTTCAAGAGATTGCTCGTCATGGTGAGGAACTTGAGAGTGGACGCAGATCGAATGCACGCCTTGGCTTGCATCTGCCGTACAGCGCTCTGCGTGGATCTTTTCTCCAAAGAGAGTGTCAGGAGGGGACAGAAACCTCTACCTGGGACGGATGTCACTTCCCTTTTTGAGGACCCTATGACGAAAGAAGACTTGGCCAATGTGAGCTCGAATAGTCTGTTCAGAGAAGAGCTGGTTGCTTGCCTCGTAGAAAGTTGCTTCCAGCTATCTCTGCCACTACCCAGGGTTAAATCAACGGGTTCGGAGAGTCGAGTTATTGGTGCTTTGGCTTATGGAACAGGAAATGAGGTCATGAACTGGACACAATCGGCATTAGAGGTCGTAGAAGTTTGCCGGCCCTGTGTGAAGTGGAATTGCGAGGGAAGATTGTACGCCATGGATTGTTATTTGAAGCTTTTAGTGCGTCTGTGCCACATTTACGAAACTCGTGCAGGTGTCAAAAAATCAAAAGATGGTGCTTCCCCCGAGCAGATTCTTGCAGAAACGAGATTACAGGCTCTGCAAAGGCAGCTGGTCAAGGACCTTTCCGAGGTGCCATATTACAAGCCTTACTTTGGCCTCACTCACCCTCTGTTTGTACTTCCTTTGAAGTAGACAGTGTTATGGATACGCGAGGAGGATTGTTACTTTGCTCATAAGTTTATGTGCTGGAAAACATGTTGGGAGCTGGTTTTGACGACTGAATGGCTGGCGGTGAATGCAGCAAGCGTCTTACTGAAATCTAGCACCTCGTGAAGATATTATCAATATCAGAACTTAGCATCTGTCTTTCTAGCTGGGAGCCTTATTGTCCCTAGGTCAACAGACAAATTTTGATTGAAAGAATGAAAGTTGCTGACGAAGCGACTTCGTGCTATAACCTGTCTTGACTATTTTGTTGTACTTGTCGCATCTGCCCTCATTTTGTAGGTTTCAACCGTGAGGTTGCGAGCGCGTATAATCTGGGCCTTGGCGGAACATTTTGATCTAGAGGGCTTGGATCCACTTCTGGCCGATGATCCTGATGACCCCTTGAACATAATGGTAGAGCACATCCACACTGTCCTATTCAACGTGGACAATGCCACTGTGGCTGCAACAAACAGGCTTCAGGACGTCCAGGCGATCCTTGTATGCTCGCAACATCTGGGTTCTCGAAACGTGAGAGCTGCACAACTGCTGACAAAGGAGTTAGAGGAGTTTAGATCTAGCAACCTGGCAGACTCTGTTAACAAACATCAGTGCCGTCTCATTCTTCAAGTGTTTAAGCACATCACCAAACATACCGATGCAAAGTAAGAGGATCTTTTGTAATGCTTGGTCGTAGAGTGTTTGCGATATGAACTGTACTCATTTATATTTGCTTCACATTGTCTGAATAAGTTCTCTGCGATGGTAATCACATAATAATATCAATTTAGGTATACTTCCCAGGGTTTCTGTTCGTATTGTGGTTGTCGCTGTTGTTAACTGCAAGCTTACAGCGAGCTGCGAGCCCAAACTTCCCAGTGGGTTTTGAGAGCATAAGTCTCTTCATATAACAGGCTCTTTGTTGTGTGCCAGCTTAAACGATTTACACCCCATGCGGTGCTTAATATTAGAGGTCATTTTTCGGAAGGTCAATCAGTCAAATCCTTGCTCAAAATGTTCACGATTAGCTTATTTGAGCAAATTACAACCTATCAGGTTTCCCGGCTTTTCTCATCCTAGTTTTATGGTTTGTCTATGCAGATGGGTAGGAGTTGGCGCACCAACAGGGGATTACCCTTTTACGCATCACAAGTTGTCAGTGGAGTATTTCGATGGCTCTGCTGCTCAAGATAGAAAGTTGGAAGATTTAGTTCACACGGCAGTTCAAGAGCTCTGGAGGCCCGCACCTAGTGAATTAGCCCTACTGACCAACAAGAACGTCGATGTTACGCTCCTCAGGCCCCCACCAAATTGTGTGTGCCTGTCCGGTAGCAGTGATCCTTGCTATGTGGAAGCATATCACCTAACGGACCCAAGTGAAAGAAGATTAACACTTCATTTGAAGGTATAGACCTGACTTCGCGGCGGAGGATAAGCACCGGGTTGTTGTACTGGGTTTTTCATGCATAGGCTTGTGAATGAATGTCGGGTTAAGTTGTTAATCGACCTTGATGTGCAGGTAATCAACATGACTGAACAAGAGCTGAAGCGAGTAGACGTCCGTGTGGGTTTGGTCGGGGCATTACATTTCATGGATGCCCAACCTCAGGCAGTTCGTCAACTCCAAAATCTAATTTCGCAGGTAAAGAGCTTAATGCCTATGCTCAGTATCATATTTGTGTTTAGAATCGTCTCTTTTTTCCATTGTTCACGATTTTTTTCTGTCAGCACCTCCCTTGATCACATGATATGATCATCGTTGTTTGTCCTTATTGCCGTAATTCGAATATGCTGCCACGCTTACAATCTTCGATGACAAGTCTGAATTGGAACTGTATTTGTGGACATTTACTGCAGTGTGCACTACTTTAAATAACACGTCCATATGAATGGTTTTTCATGAAAGTTTTAATTGGGCAGAAATTGACCTTCGTTCTTCAGGTCTCAATAATGTCGAGTGTCACTGTCGGTGTATCACGGTTCGAGAGATGTGGCCTTGGTGTGCAACTTTTGTACTATCCCCAATACGGTGTCCAGGTGTCCGCGAATGGTGACGATGGTGAGGGTATGGAAGAAGACGAAAAGGCTATGCATATGGGTAGGCATCGGAAGAGCTTTGTTCCGGAATATGGCGAGCCAGTTGTTCTTCGATGTCAAACGTACTGGGTTCCTCTTATCGAGCTCCTAGTCCCTCACAAATGCTCCCCTGTCGAATTCTTCCGTATATGGCCAAGTCTTCCTGCCATCATGGAGTATACTGGGGCCTACACGTACGAGGTTGGTGAATTGAAATTGGGAGCAACTAGCGAGGGAGGTATTCCTTCGTTTTTGACGGGTTTGAAGTCACTCGCCAATAAGCCCTTCCACCGTGTCTGTGCACATATACTCCAGACTGTTGCTGGATTTCAGGTAAGTTTCCTCTATTGCCGCCTCCCTACATTTATCCATGTTAGCTGTTGATACTAGTTCCTTTGTGATTCATAAGGTCTTTCTGAGGCACATCGCACACGCGTAATGAGAACACGGGCTCTGAGGAAAGGCCAGGCGTTTTACGGTCTTCCGCCAGACCGAATATGAAGTGATTACCACAGGAACATGTAACCTGTGGAATACTGTACACTAAAGTGAATCAACGATTTCCCGGCAGTTTACTGAAAAGTCCTAGTTTACTCAGTGAAGGAGTTGTCTTGAGTGTACACTTGAAAGAGATTATTGGAAAAACAAGAAAAAGTCTTAGATAGGCCAGCACGCTTGCAGATGATATTGTCTCCTCTCGTTGCTAAAAAGAACTAATGATCTGGGTTGTCGTCGGACTTTATGCAGCTGTGCTATGCCGCGAAATCTTGGTACGGCGATTTCCTGGGAATGGTAATCTTTGGTGCCAGTGAAGTGAGCGGTGATTTGGGAGAAGAGACGAACACTGTGATTTGTAAGTTTGTTCTAAGAGCATCCTCTTCTTCTCTCTTGGAAGAAATTCGTGGTTCATTGCAAGATTGGTTGGACAACTTAACCGATGGCTCAGTCCGAGTGGTTTCCGATGAGGAAATGGAAGCTGCATCCTTGAGTAAAGTGAAAAGGGCTTTGGAGTTACTGACAATGCCGAAGATTGTTGTCACTCCCCCGCCACCTGAGCCAGATAGTGATGACGATGAGTTGGTCCCTGGCATGAAACCTCCGAAAGAACCTTCAACATTGTCAATCAATTTGACCGCAGACGAGATTGAGCAGAAGGCATTGCAATCAGCTGTGTTGCAGCAGTGGGAAACATTCCGTGCTCAATACAGCGTGCCATAAAAGACCTTCAAGAGGAGTACGTTAATGATAAGGGATGATCACCTGGTTTTCATCCTTCCTGACCTCCCTATGGTTGTATGGAGATACAATTGAGGTGTTGTCTCTGTCTCTACAAAAGTTGGTGAGGCTACCACCAAAACGTGCAATAGATTTAACCATGAAGAGTCGGGGACTTCAGCCGTACAACCGTACACCGGTATTATCTCCTGGATCTAGATCTCAACGACCATATATCAGGTGGCCCTGCCATCCACATGGGTTGCAGGTTACACCACATGTCCTATATCATTCTTTAAAAAGCTCATTTTTTACTCCCAAAGCATTCCGAATGCAGTGTGGAGGTCACAAAGTGTTTGAAGTAGCTGGAAGTTGCCTGCTCCAGCCTTTCAAGGTTGTATAGACGTGGGTTTACTGTAAAGAACTGAAAAGGCATTGACCAGACTTGCAGCCTCTTTGTGGCAGTGTAGATTGTTGCGCGGTGAATTATTCAAGTTTCATCCGACAATCCTACAGCCTCTGAGAGTCGAGTCGAAGTGGCTTTTGTCTGGTTTGGATTGACCTGCGAAGGAGATGATTGTCAAGTTTCCATTCGGCGCTTAAGTCAACAGATTCTAGAAACAAGTTAGTGTAAAAAACACGAAGTGTAATATTTAGAATGCATAATTTGTAGAATGCTTATTTCTTCATCACCTGGCTTGCTTTAGTTAGACAATAGTCAATGGCAGTTGTTCTGGCTGAATGCATGAGTAAGGTGACTAATTCCACTAAGCTTGCGCTTCTTTCTGAGAAAGACATGCTGTGAATATTTAACGTATTGTCCATGTGTACGTAAATCACCTCATATACTGGACCTTCGAAGATCGTATTGCATAGTCAACACGTTGTTGGCTCTTTCAGGTGCATGCATGGTTGTACTTCCAAGCGACCAGGGCATCTTTACATTTGCTTGTCTTTCCCTGTACTTTCGAGTACTTGCCAGAATATTCTTCAAGAAAACACTTCCGGGTAAAACCAGGCAATTTAAACCTGGAAAATCTCAAAGTTTCGCTGGTGGGTCTTCCAAGGGTCGATGCAAGGTTGGCATGCACAGTACCAAATCATCCCAGACGACCTCACTCTGTCTCGAAATTTGTACGAAAGTCTTATGGTTTACTCTGCGATTGAAACCAATCGCAGGTTGTCGGGTTTGATCCAAACGAGACAACGAACAGGGTACAAACTTCGTGATCTATTGTTTAAGACAACACTTGAACTTCACCACTACACAGTGTTGGTTTCCTGATCGTTCCGGATACCAAGCAATTTCTTTTCCTTCTCAAATGACGGCCTTAACGAATAGTCATCCTCAAGTTCTCACCTAAATCGCATGTACGTTACCCTCGCGCTACGTGTCTATTCCTGTGGGAAGAAAAAGACCCCTGAAGATCACGTGCTTGTTTGATTTCTAAATAGACATGAAGTAAGGGAGTCGTTCATGAATTAGTGCCGCTACATTCTTGCAATCTGTATCCCATTAAAACCGAAAAGGAATAGATTACATGCATTTATCTTATGCAAGAACAAGATCAATTTGCATCCGTAAAATTACTTACATCTCCATAATTCGACTACATGACATCTGTGGTAAAAATGAAGTGAAGGACTGTGGTATGGCTTTAAAGCGGCAATTATGCTGGTGTGTGAGAGGGATCTTACTCTTTTCCAAGATTAAAACGTTTGATAATGCAACAGATTTAGCTTGTTTTCCAATTTCGGTGAGTACAAATGGGGAGAAAAGGGTTTCAAGAGTGATGAGAAGAAGAAAGATTTGGCTTGGATGAGAGAAGAAGAGCTTGTCTTATGAGGAGAGAAGTTCCATCGAGTAAACAATTTTGTGATAGTCCATGAGGGAAGTAGAAATTAAAGTCTGGCATTGTTAACGAGGGAGAGAACGAGGGAGAATTATTAACTAGGGAGAGTACTATTCGCGTTATAGACGATTCTGAACAAATGGCTTGTCACCTCTGAATGCATCATCAAACTCATAATCTGTGAATGACAAGGAGACTTAATATTCGATGATCAATGATCAATTACACTTATGCTTCAGCAGCTAATTATCATGAATAATCTCATCCCATTCGTTATTGATGACGTTGAAATTACGAACTCGTTCATAGTAGACTCGACTTTCGATATTGCTCCATTGATTCACGTGATCAATGATTGTTTTTGTAGTTGTTTAGTCTAGTGTCATATAAATTTCATTGATGTGTCTTCTTGAACTGAAACTGTCACCAAAACATTATTCTTTACTACATAATAATACTCGTTACCGCTTGCGATAAATTTCATGACATTTTTTCCTATCAAATATATATCTATAACAAGAATGCTATGATCAAAGTTTATTTTAATTGTCTAATACTACCGCCTGAGGCTGTTGAGGTGTCCGTAATTTACTTCATCTAACAGATTGGAGACATTACTTAAGATTGATCTCATTGTCGAGCACAAAGCTCTGATCATGCTCACATATGTGGGCATTTTTTGAAATACTACAAGGATTCTCTTTCTAACAATTCTGATTTCAAGGATAATTGGTCATATTTGTTTCATATTTTAGTATCAAATCAATAAATTTACATAATTAAAAGATAATTAGAAAGAGAAAATAGCATAAAAAGATTCCTTGTGTAGAATCTGTAGCAAAACTATGAATAGAAGCGAGCGCACAAAAAATTATCATGTTTGCATGAAAAAAATTTAATAAAGATATTAATGTTTCAATTTTTGATTTATCAAAATATTGAAATATTGTTAAGTATTCACAATCTCATGAAATTATCATATTTTTCATATTAAATAAAATTAGCAGCTAGTTATCATTCAATTTATGCTAATTATCACTCACTCTACAAAAATTGTATAATTTGCTTAATTGAAAGGTAGGTAGTGATGCAGTATTCATCGTTTTGATGTGATTTTTGCCGTATTAACACTATTTTTTGATTTTTGTAGTTGTGATTCTGTGCGGGAATAAGCATAACGTATATTCCTCCACCTCCTCTTGGGAGATTGCGCATGATGAGCTGAAAAAATGGCTGAGTTCATCTACGGATGATTTTCTCTAGGTGGATACTAAGCTACAGCTTCCGTGCAACAGACAACTTGCAAAAATTATAATAGTGAGTGAAATTGATAACTTTTGTCAACTTTAATGCATGTCATCACTTGCTTCTTGTTACCTATTCATTTTCAAATTTGAAAATACATAAAAATTTTGTTGTAATTAATTATATTGAGTGAGTATCTATAACTAGTTCAAAGGTATTAAAGTTGATATTGTAATAGTAAACACGACAAAACTAATCAGTTTGTTAGCAGATATATATATTAATATATGCGCAATGAACTTCTTTTGTGTGAAAAAAAATGTTACTGATATTTGTAAAGTTTGGTAAAATCTTCACAATTGAGATATACTAGCTCAAAAATACTATAATACTACTGCGCAAATGCCAGCCATCTTACACAAAAAGAAATGTTATGCGGCAATTGAACAAAGCAATGCTTTACCAAAGTTACTACATGCACTTGAAGTTCTCGAAGTAGTGACCGATCACACACATAAAAATGCAATCACGGCCAAGCAAGAACAAGAGGCTGCTAACGAAGAATTTCAAGAGAAAATTGACATCATTCTCAAACAACGTGATGATGCTGTGTACTACATTATGATGAATGTGTGTGAGCACATTGTTCATCATATCTCTGGCATGTCTGATACTCACATGATGTGGAAAGAGTTAGAAACATTATTTGCGTCCGCTAGTAAGAATCAACGCTAGCTCTTGCGACAAAAACTATCCAATCTCTCAATGAGAGAGGATGAATTTATTGAAACTCACATGTGTGCTGTGAGAAACCTCACAAATCAACTGTCAAACTGCAACGATACAATCAAAGATTCAAAACTTATACCTCTCATTTTGATGAGTTTGCCTATGAGTTAGTCAAGATTTGCTTCTTCCATAAAAGCTAAAGTTGTTCATTATACTTATAAGCTTTCACAGTTTTTTACTCTTTTTATTGATGAAGAAATAAGCCATGAGGTCAGATCTAACCAAACTAGCGTATAAGCCGAATCTTTTATCACCATCTAGCGCAGCAGGCAAGACAAGCAGCAATATCATGCAGATAAGAAGAAATCTGTTTCATTTTAGCAATTCAACAATGACCGTGACTACCTCGGATCTGATAGAAGAAACTTGAGCAATCAAGATCACAATGAATTTCACAACCGCCATGACTATCGTGGTTATTTTCAGAATTATTCTCTTAAAGATACACTAATTCATGTAATACTCCTTGGCGTTCTCATGAAACATCTTATAACAGCAACAAAAATAGCTCTTCACAGTCTACTCCTCCAAGCTTGAAACCGGGCAATTGCAATGTGTGCGAAGAGATGGAACACTAGTCGTATGAATGCCGTCAGCACCAACTTGAGAATGAGCTTGAAGCGCTTCAGATCTCTTACAACACTCTCAAGAACTCACGACAAACAACATGAAATGTTACCTTGACGGTCATGACGAACATCGCGAGGTTGCTTTTGAGGAAGCAGATGCTATGTTTTTTGATGATGAAGTTGCTCATGTCGTAAACAATACAGTAGCCAATGATGCAGCAAATGTACTTTCTGCATTTTTGAGTCAAGTAGAAGGAAAGCAGTTATGGTTTTTTAATAGTGGAGCCTACTCACACTTAAATGGAAATAATTCACTTCTAAAATCAGGCTGATTATATCTCAGTTAGAACTACATGCAATCAGGTTCTTCCGGTTTGTGGAAAGTACTCACTTACATTAAATCAGAAGAATGTGTTTGATGTTTTCTACGTGCCTGGTGTGAAATTTTTTTTGCTATTTGTTGGATGTTTGTTTAATTTAGGCCATACATCATCTTTCAACTCCTAGAATTGTTATGTTTTTGATAGAGAAAATTCACATAGCATACTACTGTAGGAAGAACGAGATTCACTTAATAGTTTATACAAGTTAACTAAACTTGGAGGTCTATCAACAGCCATCACAACACCATCTTCCCCAACACGACTTCTTTGTTCCACTGAAGTTTGAAATATAGAGGCCTAAACCGGATCTCCAAACCTATTCAGTCTCTCAGGCAGAACTTTGGCATCGCATGATGAATCATGCAAACTATCAAAAACTCCATTTGATGAGCTCTGAGAAACTCGTTGTCGGAATACTCAGATCCATCACATTAGATCTTTATGTGCTACATGTTTGAAAGCAAAGCAAAGTCAAGATAATATATCCAAACACTCTCGTATTCAAATAACCCATCCATTACAGTTATTCCACTCTTATTTATGCGGGCCTCTCCTTTCTGAATCCTTAACAAAGAAAGTATATATTCTGATGTTTACTGACAAGTTTATCATGTATACCTAGATTTATTTTTTGAGCACCGATGACTAGACACTACAACAATTTCAGGATTTCAAAATTATGGTGGAAAATAATTACAATCACAAGATCGCGGCACTACAAACAGACAAAGCGGGAGAATATCTTTCCAAGACAAATCATGCTTTCTGCATAAATCAGGTATTCATCATGATTTAAATCAGATATTCATCATGCATTAACTTGTGTGTACATTCCACATTGAAATGACGTATCTCAC